TTTCTCGCAATTCGTATATCTTCCCGAGAACTGTCGAAAGTTTTCGTACTCTCGGTTCACTTTAGATTGCCTTTGGCTTTTTTAACCAAGTTTTACACAATGGCAGCCACACCATTAGATTTTCTTATCGCGTCTTGTGATTGCAAAGATACGTCGAATTTTTATCATTGTTCAAAGAGGCGACGACGAATGATACAGAATTTAAAGTCAAAGATAGAATTGTACAATATTCGAAATTTCGTTTTTTATAACATCGATTACATAATCTAACATTTGCAATCATAAATATTGTATGTACAAAATTTAAAACAAAATAAAATTTATATAAGTATATTTTATTTATAATTTATCATTTATTTATAATTTATAATTTAAAGGTGATTTTTCTTCGATAAAATTCAAATGCTAAATTTCCTTTAGTCACATAAAAATAAAAAAAGATTAGAACATTAAAAAAAAAAGAGAAAAAGTCTTTATTTTATCTTATTAACAACTTAAAGCTCAAGATGAGACAATTAATTTTAATATTAGATATATGATATAAAAATAATGATGGTTTCAACATAGTATATTGTTAAATTAGACACAAATAATAAAACAATTGAAAATTAAAGTTTTCTTTATCACAAACGGAAAGTTAGATTGACGGATTCCGGCGTTAAAGTGAGAACTTCGCAGAGAGATAGATCGCGTCATTTCATTGGCGACACGTTGTCCGCGCGCCCTTAGCTACGACTTAACTATAACTTCAACTATGTAACGTGCAATAATCTATTCCATTAGGCGTGTATTTTTGAGTTTACGTCGCCATGACAACCCGGCAAATCGCGCGCGCATACGGCAACGACGACGTCCGTGACGACGATGATGACGACAAAGAGGGGTCGTTAGAGTTGCGCGATATCGTGATACTACTTACAGGGGTGGGCACTTCGAGCTGTCCGGTGGCCCATTTTATAACTTATACTTTGATGGGTCACTAAATTGACGATTAGTCGAGCGCCGTAGTATTCGTTAAAAAAGAATGTGATAAGACGGGTAATATAAAAGACATCCCTTTTATCGTTACCGTCCTAAATATCTTAATTGCTTCTAATATGTCCGAGAGGAGAAGTTCATTGTCTGAGAAAATTGAATCTTATGATCAATAAGAATCTTTTTCTTGTAGTTTTTCCACAGTTTTGAAAATTTCATGGAGATGAATTTTTTTTTTACATAAAACTGTATACAAGTTTTTTCACATAAATAAATCCATCTCTCTTGTGGTGATTCTGCGTATAGAAATGTTAGAATAAAGTGATCGAATGGAATGAATATTTTACGGGTATATTTATGTTATTTCAGCATATTGTGACATTAAATATGAAATATCTTGTAAAATATTCAATTTTTTCATTATCCTACTTTGAAACTTCAAAAGAATAATAGACAGACTCGATCGATGATCCTATTTTTTGCACAGATAAATTTTTTTAATAAATGTGACAACAAGGTAATACCTCTAGTCATGAAGATTCTAAAACCATTTTGTCAAACTTAGATGTACGAATTTAGGGTGTGTCAACTTATAAAATATAAGATAGCAGCCCCTACTTCGTAGAAATTGTCGTGTCAACGTATTTGTCGGATTTTATCTGCTGACGCAGAAGTTTTGTGATACTGATACGTGATGAGCCATAAAAATCGAAAAATGTCTCATGAGCAGTCGTACATCTCTCAATATGA